AATCAGATTGCACACGGATTAAAAAAAAGTGTCAAACCATTTTCCACCACCATGTCTGCTCCTCATTGTCTGTGTGTTGAGATTTCACCCCATCCAATTTTACTCACTGCTTAATTGCTTCTTTCTCTTGCACTGCTTGGTCTATCCCAATATCAACTGAGTGTTCTGGCTGTACATCCATCTTTCCTCCTCCCAAGGATTCCTTAGCGCCTTAATCCCTTAGTAATTTTTGTGTTGTCTTTGCTACATAACGATGAAAAGAATAGGATCAATTATAAAGTCATAGAACTGTACAGCATGGAAACAGACGCTTCGGTCCAACTCGTCCATGCTGACTAGGTATCCTAAATTAATCTAGTTCTATTTGCCAGCATTTGGCACATATACCTCTAAACTCTTCCTATTCATATACCCATCCAGATGCCTTTTAAATGCTGTAATTGTACCAGCCTCCACCACTTCCTCTGGCAGGTCATTCTATACACACACCACGCTCTACGTGAAGAAAGTTGCCCCTGATGTCCCTTTTAAATCTTCCCCTCTCGTCTTAAACCTATGCCCTGTCGTTTTGGACTCACCAAACCCAGGAAACAGATCTTGTCTATTTACCCTATCCATGCCGCTCATGATTTATAAACCTCTATAAGGTTACCCTTCAGCCTCCGATGCTCCAGGGAAAATAGCCCTAGCTTATTCAACCTCTGCCTGTAGCTCAAACCCTCCAACCCTATCACCATCCTTGTAAATCTTTTCTGAACCCTTTCAAGTTTCACAATATCCTTCCTTCAGCAAGGTGACCAGAATTGGACACATTATTTCAATAGTGGTCTAACCAATGCCCTGTGCAGCCACAACATGACCTCCCAACTCCTATATGTAACGCACAGACCAATAAAGGCAAGCATACCAAACGCCTTCACTAACCTGTCTACCTGCAACTTCACTTTCAAGGAACTATGAACCTGCACTTCAAGGTCTCTTTGTTCAGAAATGCTACCTAGGTCTTTACCATTGGGTGTATAAGTCCTACCCTGATTTGCCTTTCTAAAACGCAGCACCTCACATTTATCTAAATTCATTAGTAATTGAATTGCTCTGCATCATATTGTCCTGCAGTGGCAGTGATAATGATAAAGACTATTTAGTACAGATACACCTCATGACTAAATAGTATGTCTTGTTGAAAGCATGTAGTTAAAATCTAAGAAACCAGGATAAAGCCCAAGACCTTCCCATATTTTTCAATCCTTGTTGAATTCAAAATGTTCATGACATAGAATCACTACAGTGTGGAAGCAGGCCTTTGGCCCATCAAATCCACACTGACCCTCTGAAGAGCACCCCATCTGTGCCTAATCCACCTAGCCTGGCCATCCGTGGACACTATGAGCAATTTAGATGACCTGCACATCTTTGGGCTGTGGGAGGAAATTGGAGCACCCAAAGGAAACCCACGCAGACACAGGGAGAATGTGTAAACCTCACACAGACAGTCACCCAAGGGTGGAATTGAACCCACGTCCCTGGTGCTGTGAGGCAGCAGTACTAACCACTGAGCCACTGTGCTGCCCATGTTATATACTTTGCTGAACAGTCCATACTTGAAGCGTTGTCGCTCTTTTCTCAGATGCTGCGTTAGTTGCTGTGCATATCCAATGTTTTCTCTTCAGATTTTCAGCATATGGTGTATTTTGCTTTTAGGTTCTATGTTATCTATGCTATCTGTTTGGCTTGTAATTTATAAACTTTCATGGATATTTTTCGAAGGACGCATATATTCAAATTCAAATCTACTGTTTCAAATCGTGTCCTGTATTTCTCTGTAATCTATTTTTGATTTTGAAAACACAGGAAAGGAAACTGGTAAAATATAAGCGCCCATTTATTAATTTGCATGTGCTTTCAAATAATATTGTAAACAAAGGCACATTAAAATAGATGAAAAAGATTAAATTATGCCAAGTACTTCCCATATTACAATCCTTAACATCTAATAACTTATTTAGTTGTTAGTTTGTTTAAGAATATTAAGCCAGATTTATTTTAAGATTTAAATACACTATAATTAACTTGGACATACAAAATCAAAATCCACAGGTCTTTAGACACACTCCTAATGTAACTTTAACAGTTATAGTAACTTTAACAGTAATATGGCAGTATACTGATACACTGGGTCCTAATCATACATTGGGAGTTACTGGGTTACAGCCTTTACCTGTCCTAAATAAAGCAATTCTCTGAAGCGATATGTGGCTGGTGACAGGGAGTATGCATTCTAGGAATTCCCACATTCTGGTAAATAATGTAATCCAGTGTACATTCAATAGAGGTGTGACTAATGAAACTATGATTCTGACTATGGGCAGCAGTGCGATCCACCTGGAGAAGCAGAATTGAATAAATATAGATGCAACTACAGAGCGCCCTAGAAATGGTTTTGAGGAATGGGGAGTAAGAAACACATTGGTGTCACCATAGCCAACCTGAGATTTCTCTGATTTCTCTCTCAGTTGAGCCCTACCTACGAAAGCCAGCACAATCTCCTGTGGGTTTTAACTTTGAGGTTTTTTTTGTATTTTCTTGCAGTATTAATTGATTGTTTTTGAAATGAAACGCACTGTACTTGGACCAAATAAAAACCCAGTGAGAAAGGTCCATTTCTGGCTTATAAGAGATTGTGGAAGAAGCTTATATATGTTTGCAAAATATAGTAATATGTCTGCGAATTGGACATGCTCTACTTTTCACTTTTTGCAAATGTTTTGGTGACCTTTGTTTCCACAGCATGTGTAACTAATGCGGAATATAAAACAATATACGACCATTTTCAGTGTTTTCAAAAGAAAGGATCTTGTGGCACAGTGATAGCACCTCTGCCTCTGAGCCAGAAGTTCCTGTTTCAAGTCGAACCTACTCTGGAGATGTTATAACATGCCTGAACAGGTTGATTCTAATACCTATGAAAAGAATGAGAATAATGAGAGTAATTGCTTTCTTTGGAAGCAGAGAGGAGAAATTAACATAGAGAGGAGGAAATGGGAGACATTGAACAAATATTTTGTCTGCCTTCACACATGAAAGTAGAAATTATACCAGGTAACCTAGACTAATATGAATGGAAGAAATTAATATCAGCACAGAAAATGTATTGGAGAAATGTAAGGGACTAAGATTCAACAAATTCCCAAGGCTGATGGCCTAAGCCCTAGTATTTTTAAAGTGAAAGCTGGATGGACATTTTGAATTTTTTTTTCCGGGCCAGATCTTAGGAAATTGATTGTTGGTAAACATAGCATTATTGTTCAAGAGATTTTGAAAAAAAGGTCATTTTCACAAAACTACAATTAAAATCCACCTCCCTCTAATTTAAAAATCCAAATTCCAAAAATATCATCTTGTACATCTTTATCATAATGTTCAAAGAAACTTAGCTAAGAACTCATACAGGGAAAGCCACAAATTAGCATAAAGCATTTAGAAAAGCAAATTACATTTTTACAAAGGAATTGAAGTACAAAAATAAATAGGTCTTGCTACAATTGGTGAGATCACACTTGAAAAAGTGCGCAATTTTGGTCTCCAGGTTATACTTGCACCAGAGACTGTAGAGCAATCGTTTACTACATTGTTCCCTGGATTGAGACTTTTTGTCTGTGTTGAGAATCTAGTAAATTGAGTCTATATTCTCTGGAGTTCAGAAGAAATCTCGCTGAAACATTAGAAACTATGAAGGAATTGACAGGGTAGATACTGAGACATTTCTCCCCTGGCTGCGGAATCTGGAACTAGGATGAGTGACTGATCATTTAGGGCTGAGGTGAGGAAAGATTTCTTCACTCAATTTGTTGTAAATCTTTGGAAATCTGTACCCCAGAAGGTTATGGATGCTCCGTAATTGAATACATTTATGATCGAGGTAAAGACATTTTTGGTGACTCGGGGAACTGTGAAATGTCAAGATCAAATGTGATCGTAATGAATGCCTCATCAGGCTTTAGAATATCTGCTTATTTTGTTTCAGAAAATGAAGGTGGGTGCTGTTGGCTCTAAATGTAATGCACCTCCCATTTAAGAGATGCAGTCTAGGAATTTCAGTGGTCCAAGGAATTAAATGTTTGAATCAGCTCAAACCTCTGTCAATTCTTCTATTTCAAGGTGAATTAACTAAGAGCATTTGGGAAATGCCCTAGTGCCAGGGGGCATTTCACCTCCAAATCATGCATCTATCTAATAAATATTAAGTTTCCTAGCTCGCAATTTCTTTAGTGTTCATTGTTATTGCTTTCTCTTTTCTGAAAAATCGATTCGAATCTATTTTCAGCCTACCTTTATTCTGTTACATCATTGTGTTGTGTATTCTACATGCAGTCTCTGTTTTATGTTCATTGCTCAAACTTTATCTCATGCTATCCTCTTCATCTTATTGTCCAGGATCTCTGTATGGCACTACCCTTCATTCCTCTATCTTCATCTTTGTCCATGACTTTGTTCCTGAAATAGGAAGGTTTACATTTTCTTAAAATATTGTATTTGTACCTCCCCTGAATATACCTATAACAAGTGATTCAGCTCCATCTCTCTGAACTAGATGTGGTGTCACAATCTTTTATAACTTTGGGTTTTTTCCATAATTCTTGTTGATGTACACCATATTGATGCTGTTTAAATTTGACACACTTAAAGGCAAAATTTGGAGAAACCCTATGCATGTACCATGATGCAATAGTATGGAGGACATAGATAATTGCAGTGGATAAAAGAGGATTTTTAGTGAAGTAGGAAGTTCTGCATGGACATTGCCTTTGATGGAATTAAGAAAACTATATGGAACAACTTGGAGGAAAGTTTTAAGAAATCCAAGCTGAATCAATTCCCAAGCCAGCAAATGAGGAGAGAGGAGAGGGGTGAGCAACACCATAAAAAGCAATGATTACCATTTCACCAGACAAAGACAATTATGCTTTTTCGTTTTTTAAAAAAAAAACTGTTAACGTACCATGTCAACTGGCCAGATAGTTGTTGCACTGTCTATGGTGACGTCTATGGCAAGTGCAACTTTTGTGGAGAATCCAAGAAAGATATACTTACCAAACTTCAATTCAGATCTAGCTTTTATGAGTTCTTCTAAGTTTGCATTTGTGAAGTCAGGTAGCAAACTTGCAAAATCACAGGAATTACTTATACATACATCTAGGGAAAGGTTTAAATGTACCATGAAATAAAATCATCTTAAAACAAAACTTAAAATGTAAGTATTCTTGCTGTCATTCCAGTGGAAATGATTTTACATCGGTAAAAATAGTCCCCTTAGAACTGGGCTTTGAAATGAATAATGAATTGATTACCCTGTTGAAGGGACACCTGTTTCTACTCAAGAATGAAATATTTCATTGAAGCCTGTTATTAATGCACTAAAAATGGTAAACAATGGCCCATCGTATTAAGGTGAAATCTTCTTTAATATTTCTTGAAAAAAAATTAAACAGAACTTTATTTCCTCTAATTCAATGTTTGCTTCATTAATGTATTCCTGTATCTGTGTTGACAAACTTGTGTGTGAAGTTCCTTGCTTTAAATATATGGTATCTTCCAAAGTTTGACCATGTGATGACTAAGGATCAATTAAGTGTAAATAGTATAGGAACCTTAATTTGCTTAAAAATACTTGTTTTTCATGAAAATGTAGTTATGCAGCAGACTCTAACATTATGATCTATTGATTGGACCTTGTGCCTAATGCATCAGTCAAAAAGGAAATATATCCCTTTTCTTTGACTTAGGAACAGCTACTGTTGTTATTTGTTTTTTTTCACTGCTGAATACACAAAATTCAAATTTTAGCCAGCACAGAAGTTGAATGAATAATGTTCCTATTCAACTGCAGCAGAGTGAAAGTTGTAGCACTTCCATACATGTTGAGTTAAATTTCACAAAATTATTTTCAGATGGGTAATCTGCTTTTTTGAAAAATAGTGATAGAATATAGCGTTACGTAGAATCATAATATGGTTACAGCAGAGGAGACCATTCAGCCTATTATGTCCAGCAGCAATACAATTTTGTCCTTTCCCTATTGTTTAGCAATTTGTTTCTGTTCAGGTGCTTATCAAATTCCTTTTTGAAGGCCATGATTGAATCGCTCTCCTTCAAGCAGTACATTCCAGATGCTAACCACTCATTGCAGAAAAATGTTTTCTTTTCATTCGTTCTTTGCTATTTACCTGTTCTTTCACTCTCTGTATCTCTCTCTCCCCCTCTCCTCCCTCTGTTTTTCTCTCTTCCTCAATTCTCTCTCTCCTCTCTACTCCCTCCCCTTCTCTCTCCCCTTCTCTCTCCGCTCTCTCTGCTTCCCCTTCTCTCTCCTCTCTCTCTGCCTCCCCTTCTCTCTCTCTGCCTCCCCTTCTCTCTCTCTCTC